AGCAATTCTTTTCACATTTCAGCTTCCTTTCCCACTGCTTATCAGCGTTTGATGTAAACAACCCAGTGCACAGTGGGTACCTTATCAAACAGGTTTCCGAAAACAATCATCCAAATACACTCTCCACGTGATGAGCTCTTTTTGTTTTCTTTTTTCTTTTTGTCCCAGAGCTCAGTAGAATTTTGTTTCAGTGGTTATTCTAGATTCGTAGCAAAGGCTTTCATTAACATTGCATTAGAGTTCTGACTGTAATTCAATTGGGCAGTTCCTGGAAGAGGTCCTGCTCTTTTTTTCCCCTCTCCCCCATCCACCAGGTAGTTCAAAGGTCTACAGTGGACAACTTCTTGTAACTCCAGAATACTTTTGCATTGCAACTCCCATCATCCCTCACCACTGGCTATGCTGCCAAGGGCTGATGGGAATTGCAATCCAACAGCATCTGCAGGGCCACAAATTGCCCACCCTGATCTAATGTACCCTTATTCAGGCTTAAGGTGTAACTCCTTCAGAATGCTTTGTGAGGGGGCATATTTTACTGCTAAGATCAGAAAGATTGGTTCCCTTTACCCTTTTCTCTTATTTCTGGTTTACAGAGCATAATCTGTAAATTTCCCAATCTGCTGTACCCCTGCAACTCAAACAGTGTGAAATTGGTCCCACAGGAGAAGGTTGATTTGAGGACATGCTGGTTATAGGAGCCCATGTCGTGTCCAGCCTTTTCACAAGATACACATAGCCCATTAAACACTTTTCTCTAAGAAAAACCTGGAGAAGTGTCTTTGTTTAGAGGGGTTTGGCGAGAAGAGTGCAAAAATTATAAATACAGAAAATTATCAAAACAGTAGTCCTATAACCAAAAACCGTGCTAACAGGATTGTGTAGATAGACTGGCTAATGTACATACAGTGGGGTCTTGACTTAAGAATGGCTCGAGTTAAGAACATTTTGACTTAAGAACCCCTCTCATAGGAAACTATTGACTTGACTTACATACTTAGATTGATCTAATGTACCCTTATTCAGGCTTAAGGTGTAACTCCTTCAGAATGCTTTGTGAGGGGGCATATTTTACTGCTAAGATCAGAAAGATTGGTTCCCTTTACCCTTTTCTCTTATTTCTGGTTTACAGAGCATAATCTGTAAATTTCCCAATCTGCTGTACCCCTGCAACTCAAACAGTGTGAAATTGGTCCCACAGGAGAAGGTTGATTTGAGGACATGCTGGTTATAGGAGCCCATGTCGTGTCCAGCCTTTTCACAAGATACACATAGCCCATTAAACACTTTTCTCTAAGAAAAACCTGGAGAAGTGTCTTTGTTTAGAGGGGTTTGGTGAGAAGAGTGCAAAAATTATAAATACAGAAAATTATCAAAACAGTAGTACTATAACCAAAAACCGTGCTAACAGGACTGTGTAGATCGACTGGCTAATGTACATAATGAGATTTTAAAACTTCATTATATATTCTTCTTTGACCATTTCTCTCTGGAATCTGCCCTTAAAGTTCTCTTGTTCAATGATGGACACTAGGAGATGACAGACAGTGTGTGCTATGGAGAACGAAGTGTTCTTCTGCTGGTTTCTGAGTATTACTGACAAGAATCCTATTCACTGGTTAAGCTGGTATATATGCAATTTTGAATTGCCACTAGTTAACAAGCCTTCTTCTATCCGTTATACATGAAGTCACACATATTGGTGGGCAATGAGGGATACAAATGGCAAATTTTAAAGTAATGACGATTTTTCCACTCTGATTTATGCTTCTGTAACTAATAAGATTCTGGCTACTGTTTCTTTTGCATAGGGATGGACATGTTTGTCTTAGGTGACATAGTGTAGCCAGAAGATGTTGGCAAAATATGATATCACATTAGACAAGTAGAGGTGTACCACTCTTTGAGTTCTTTGGTGAGACATTTTTTATATAAGTATTGTAAATACAATGAACTTTACAAAAACATGGAAACACACACACACATTCAAATTGCAAAACAACAGCAATAACAGAAGCAGAGCCCAAATGAGATACTGCAAAATATATCCCCTTGAGTTTCATTTACCAACATTATGCCATAACATGAGTTGCTTGCAGGGAAAAATGAAGTAAAGCAATGGTCTCTTTAAAGGAAAACAGGTCAGAAACCCTAGAATATTTTTATCACCCAAGGCAAAAAAAAATCTAGAGCATAAAGCAACTCCAGGTTTGCAACTTTTAAAGTCATAAATAAAATAAAGCACAAACTCAGATACCAATACATTATACAGTACCATTTCATGGACTCATCCCTTCAGTGCCCCTCCTGCAGAATCATACTGAAAGTCTTTTACCTATCTGAGATGGTATGGGCCCATATTCAGGGAAACAGCCACTCCTGCCCTCTCCATCTCTTTCTGCCAACTGAAATTTTAAATCACTGCCCCTTCCTCAGTTTTTCCTACCCACTGGACTAAACCAATCAGTCTATGGGGGGTGCATAAGTATACAACTACCCGATGCTGGGGGTTCCGTTAGAGGGCCCTATAAGAGTTTCCAGTGTAGGCATGAGTTAGCAGTCGGGTCTTTTCCTATGTTCCTGTTATGAGGTGTGCTGTTGCTGGTGAGTAATAGTGTTAAACTGATGGGTTGTTTGTAGTGTACACAACAACAGGCCTCCTGGCCAGAGCCCATGTGAGAAGAATGTCAATGCCCAGAATGAGGTATAGCTCACCGATTATATATTTGAATTGTTTTAACAATGAATTGCAGGTATTATTTTGTTATCTCTGTTTGGTTTATCCTTAGAAGATTGTTTCCGGCTACCAGTCTATTTGAATCCTTGAACTGAAAATCTGTGTCTTATGAATCAGATCCACAGGGTCTGGCTGTAAACAGATTCATAGGCTGAAGCACATCCCTAGGGACTGGTTGTAAACAGTGGCTGAAATCTAAGTGATATTTCCTGCATGTGTAAGAGTATTCACAGAAGTGGTTTTTGTATTTTCCAGGCTGCCCATTGTACAGCCAGTCACATGATCAGCTGCACAACAGAGGAAGACTGGTGCATTATGGATAGCCAGAAAAACAAGCTGCAGTATTTTTGTGATGATAATTATACCTTAATGTAAGACAATAGAAATCTAAATAATGAGTTTTGTTGTTTATTCTGGTTGGAACGTGGAAATATGTACAGTCGTGTGAAAAAGAACGTGCAGCCTCTTTGAATTCTATGCTTTTATGTATCAGGACAGGTCCTTAGCAGGTCTGAAAATTAGGAAAATACAACCTCAGATTTTTATCTGTCTGTCTGTCTGTCTGTCTAATGTAATTTAATTTAATTTAATTTAATTTATACCCCGCCTATCTGGTCTTTGCGACCACTCTAGGTGGCTTCCAGACAAGTAAAAAATAACAAATACGTATACCAAAGTAACAATCATAAAACAAGAAACAAATTCTTCAAGATGGAAAGATAATAAAAGATAAGGAAAGAAAAAGAAATTAAATGTTAGCTGGAGGGAACGCCTGCTTAAACATCCAAGTTTTTATTGGGTCTTAAAAATACCCAGCGATGGGACTGCGCGAATCTCTGGAGGGAGGTTGTTCCAGAGGTGAGATGAACAACACATGACATATGACACATGTCATGATTTATTTTAGAGAAATAAAGCCAAAATGAAGAAGCCATGTGTGAAAAATTAAATGCACATGACTGTACATATAGGTAGCTATTTGTTGGTTTCTGGAATAAAATGGTGTTTATCTCCATGGCTAGATGTAACTTTCACTCAACAGTGATCTTTCAGCAACTCTTAATGGTCATGATTAAGATCTCTGCCAATTACCCCCAAGAACTGATAAGACAACCACAGTGCAGGCCCTTTTGCATTTTAATTTTATTTTACACTCTTGTCTTTTCCATACTTGGATTAATATCTGATTGCTAAAGCTGTACACCAGACACAAGAAGGAGTGAGAGCTACTGTCCACAGAACCTTATACAAAATTGAACATCTTTTGCGCAGTCTTGTCAGTGGCTGCAGCTCATCCTCTTCAAGGTCACTTGCTGATTACTTGGTCAGTACTTTCTCAGGCTCAAGAACCTGCAGATCTCCGCAGATCATTCTCATTCTTGATTGTCCCTTGTCCCTTCATATTTCTGGAGAGACAGTGTCCCTTGACTCCTTCAGCAGGTGATCACACACCTATCACCTGATCATCCATGCTTTTGACTTCTTCAGGTACCCTGATTTAGTGTTTTTTGAACTCAGGCTCTGGATCAGTTTCAGCCCCTTGTTGCTGCTGATCAAACAACCCTCCCACTTCCTCCTGTACAAACTTCAGTCTGATTTTACAGTATGTTCTCTCACCAAGAACAGCAGCAACCGCGTGGATCCTTTGTGGAGAGCTGTGTGATGACTACCTACTATCGGTGAAAATTTCTAACCTCCATTAGTTCTACTGCTGTTTGCTCTGTCTCAGCTGTCAGCTCAGCAGTTTTGCACAAGCAGGAATAAAACTAGTAAGTGGCTCAAGATGAATGCCTGTCTTTATCAGTAAGGAAAGTCAAAATGTGGATTAAACAAGAGTCCTCCCTGAACCCTGACTGTTCAAATCTCCATTTCAATAGCTAAACAAGAGATACACACAGTCTGCCCTTCAGAAACCAGTTAACATGGGGGAGGGGGGCTGGTTTCTGAGGCTATAGAAGTTTCAACTCATCCAGTTTTCTTGCAGAGGAGGGGTGAGTGAGACTTGAAACAGGAATTGTAGCATCATGTTCAGGAATCTTTCCAGAACAGGTAAGTTGAGGTCTCGGCCTTGCGTTAGATTCCCTTCCAATGAAGTATCGAGTTTTTTCATGAAGTCACTATTCTCAGTCCCAATTGTCAGCAGTCCCCAAATGGGTGTTATCGTGCTGACAAGCTGGTCTGATGAGGAAGGGTGTTCTGCTTTTTAACCCTGGCCGGCAATGAACTCTAAGCTTCCTGCATTTGGCCCGTACTCAATCATGTCACACTTCCTGGCATAAACAACATATCTTGCTGTGTCGCTCCAGCAGCAGCTAAGTTAGTCGTCATTGCGATTGACCCTGTGGATGCTGTTGTAGAGGCTTCAAGATTCTCTTTTTCCACTATGAGTGCAAAAGCTCTTCTCATCCTCCTTGTGCTTGCCCTGGTTACTATCCTGGCTCTAGTGTGCGTACTGCTGACCAAGAAGGAAGGTATTGCTCCCTGTGGCACTGGAGCAGAGGCTTCCTTGAAGAGAAAGCATAATGATCAGAGCCTGGTATTTGCTGACCTATCAGCAGAAGAGATCGTCCACGTGTGGAAGTATCTAGAGTCTAACTTGGGGTTGCCACTGGTTAATGCTTATTCTGCCAACTCTTCTGACAACTGCATTTACTACGTGGATTTGGAGCTTCCTCCCAAAGAAAAGGTACTTACATTTCTGGACTGCAATGGGCCACAGCCCCCCCGAGAGGCACTGGCTGTGGTTTACTTTGGAAACCAAACAGATCCAAACATCACAGAGTATGTGGTAGGTCCACTCCCAAAGCCAACTTATCATCGAGATGTGACCGTGCAAAAGTATGGGCAGGGATTATCCTATCACATGAGACCGGTGATGGGCAATGAATATGAACAAATGCATCATTTTGCACTGAGTAAGTTCCTCGAGGCACCCACTTTCCTGCAGCAGGTATTTGGGCACAAGGGAGAAAATTTTGCAGCCCTCACAACTGCCCCTCGAGGGTTCCAGTCTGGAGACCGCTTAACATGGACCACTCTGTTCCAGAACGTAACAGGTTACTTCCTCCATCCAGTGGGACTGGAGCTGCTGATAAACCACAGCAGCCTGAACATCTCTCAGTGGTCTGTGCCAAAGGTATTCTACAATGGCCAGTATTATAATGGCTTGGCAGAGCTGGAAAAAGAATTCAGAGAGAAACATGTGTCTAAGGCAGAAGTAAAGAAACTCCCACCAGACGGGTTGTATTCCTCAATGTATCCAAAGGTTGCTCCTCAGGGATCCGGACCTTTGCTCTATGAGCCTTGTGAGAAACGCTATAGTGTGAAAAACAACCAGGTTCTTTCTCCATCTTGGAGTTTTGCTTATAGGATGGATGCAAACAGGGGACTAAATCTCTATGATATCAGATTTAAAAACCAAAGGATTGTCTATGAGCTCAGTGTGCAGGATGCCATGTCTGCCTACGGTTCTAACACCCCTGGTGCAATGTTGACTCGATACATGGATGCACATTTTGGAATTGGGAGGTTTGCTTATTCACTGGTGCAAGGGGTTGATTGCCCATATTCTGCCACCTATCTTGATACTGTCTATTTGTTTGAGAATTTGAAACCAGACGTCCATAAGAATGCCATCTGTGTCTTTGAGCAGAACACAGAGGTCCCCTTTCGATGCCATTTCTCCAACCTCCAGTCTTTCTTTTATGAAGGCCTGCCTGGCTCTGCACTAGTCTTGCGTTCTGTGGCTACTCTGGGGAACTATGACTATGTCTGGGATTTTATTTTCCATCTCAATGGTGCTATTGAAAGCAGAGTCCGTGCCACTGGGTACATTACCTCTGCTTTCCTCTATGGTGACGGATTAAACTATGGCAACCGGGTTAGTGATAACACCCTTGGGACAATCCATACTCACTTCATCAACTACAAAGTGGACCTGGATGTGGGAGGTAAGTTTCTGGGCGTATAACATACTTTTGATTGCTCCACAGATTTCTGGAGGGGAGCTGTCTTAGTCTGTCATCTGTTGCAGCAAAACTAATAAAGAGTGTTAGAGCACCTTAAAGACGATTTCTATTTGAAGTAAGATCTTGTGGACTGCAGGTCACTTTATCCGATGTGCAATGTGTCTATACTCATTACTACAGTTGAGAACTATTTTCAGCAGTCGTTTGAAGCTCTGCTTTGCACCAGTATTGCTGGTAAAGAATGAATATAGGGCAATAAAGCTCGCTGCCAGCCATTGGAAACTTCCCCCTACTCCTATTATTACTTACTTGTATATGTACTCAAACCTTACTTTAAATCAAAAGTTATAAGGTCATCTGATTTAAGGGTCTCAACAACTGGGAGAAATCAGAAAAAGACTGTATGGTCATGGAAACAATACAAATGAAGCAGCTGATGATACTGTTAATTGACCATTAAGAATATAAAACAAAAATACAAAAAACAAACAGTGAGCTTTCAATAACAAATCATCATCCTCAAGGCTGTGCATCAAGTTCTTAAGGGAAGCTCCAAACGTATGTGCTCTTATAAATGTCCCAAATTCACATGGCTGATAGTGTAGAGGCCAGATCATCTTCTTAGATAGTAATAGCTACAGCGTTCATGTTGGCTTCAAGCTTCTCCTCAGCTAGCAGTTTGGAATTTATGGCTCATGTCTTAAAACAGAGGACAGTCAGAGGCCACCTGGGAGCTTCATGATTAAAAATGAAGGTGATTTAAATAGCAAAGACGTATGGTTGCCTGCCAACAGCTTTCACAGCTTTGCAAGTTGCAAATTGGCTTGATTTTGTTTGGTGATTAGGAGGAAACAGAAGGCTTCATTTGCATGTTGACTTTGCAAACATAGCAGTTATGAAAATGTATCTCTGGAAGGATAATGGACTTTGTTGTTGTTTAGTTGTTCAGTCATGTCTGACGCTTCATAACCCCATGGACCAGAGCACTCCAGGCTCTCCTGTCTTCCACTGCCTCCCGGAGTTGGGTCAAACTCATGTTGGTTGCTTCAGTGACACTGTCCAACCATCTCGTCCTCTGATGTCCCCTTCTCCTCTTGGCTTCACACTTTCCCAACATCAGGGTCTTTTCCATGGAGTCTCTTCTCATGAGATGTCCAAAGTATTGGAGCCTCAGCTTCAGGATCTGTCC